AGAAAAAAATATTCAAAAAAAAAAAAAAAAAAAAAAAGTTCATGGATAATGAATATTATGAAAACAGGCATGGATTTAAAAATTTTTTTCACACTGACATAATTCCATTTTCTATAAGCTTTTTATTTAAAGAGAGAGATTTTTGCTATAGAGTATGTGTGTGATTACCAAAGAGACAGAGACAGAAATCAAGAAATTGTCCTCCAAGGTAATGGCCATGCTGCAATCCCTTCTCCTCCATTCTCTCAGGATTTGGGGCAATTATATACCTGTGCCCAGCACCCGTGCCCAGCATGAGTTTTTGGTTTTTTGTTTATTTATTTGTTTTCCCTGGCTTGAGTTTTAAGCCTCCAGGTCTGGAACTTGAACCACATTTGTTGGCTGTGGGAGTCCAGCTGTGTAACCACTACGCCATCTGCTGGTCCCCAAGCTATTGTTTTTTTAGTAGAAAGTACATACATGCAGATAAGAGAGAGAAAAAAAGCACCCTTGTTAGGTTCTCATCACATCATGATTTCTTTTTCCAACCCTGCAGCTCCTCAGGATCCTGGCTGCTGCTGCACACACAGGCAGACCCAAGGATCAGAGCCATAGTCCCCATGGCTTCCTGCACTGCAGGTCGCTATTGTTGCATCCCTGAACTCTTTAAAGGCCCCTGGTAGATACTGTTTATCATTATTATTGCATCCCTGAATTCTTTAGAGGCCCTTGTTTATCTTGTTTTTGTTTGTTTTTTAATTTTTGCTATTGGGCACCTGTGGTTACCAGAGAAAGATAGGGAGAAAGTGAAAAATCACCCCCTGGGGGATGGACATGCCGCACTCCTTTCTCCATTCTCCTCTGGATTTTAGACACACATGCCCAGTGTGATTTTCAAGACGCCAGATCCAGTACTTGAACCGCAGTGTCAGCCATGTGGGATCCAGCGCCTTAATTCACCACACCAACTGCTGGCTCTCATGTTTTTACTATGGTATCACAACACCCAACTCCTTTCCTTCTTGCCTATGCAGAGCTACTTCTCTCTGAGCAGTTTCAGCTAAGTGACAGGTGACTGGATAAATCAGGATTATTGAGATAATACATGGTGTATCATAATTGTTCTTCCTAAGTATGAAAATCCCTGCACCCTTTTGACTCCAGCCATGGAGGGAGAAAATTCACATCAAGGCAGAGCAGGTGGAGAAGTTTTAGCTGCCAGTGTTTATACTAAGCCAAGATGACTCATCTAAAATGTGCCTTTGCTCTCCATTTCTCTTCAGAAAAGAAAAACCTCTTTTTAATTGGATGGAAACTTTTTACCTCCTTGGCCTGGGGCCTCTGGAAGTCTGCTGTGAATTTATTTTCCCTTTCACCTCCTGGAAGCTGAAGTACCCCTTCGTCCCTCTGTTACTGACTTCGGTGTATTGTGCGGTGGGCATCGCATATGCGTGGCTCCGGCTGTGTGTGTCAGTGTTGACTGACCCTCCCGCTGGCAAGACAAAGAAGCAATGAATAAAGGAACTGCTGGGATGTGTGCCAGGCAATTATGTCGGGGAAATTAATCAGGACTTGAGGCAGGTTGCTAGTGGTGTGAGCCATTCATTTCAGCTGGTCTGTCTTGAGGACCATTCTTTCCAACAGCTTAGCCCAGCCTAGCAACCTGATTGTCACTGCAGTGAGAAGCCATTTGCCCTTCCTAAGCTGGAGAAAAAAGCTCATCTTCCGCTGATAAAATTGTCTGAGATCATTCTGACTGCTCTGCTTGTTCAAACCAAACAGGGAGTCTGATGAACAGAATAATTATTTGAAGCCTTTGCTGACCAGCGTCAGGATACACAGCAGAGTTAGAAGCCTCTGCTGAGGGAAATAGAAATAAAATGCCATTTTGTATTCTTGCACAAAGACATTTTGGATCATTACCAGCTCCTGCATTTTTCTGTTGGCATGCACACAAGGCAGATGGTGATCTGTCCCCATTTTGTTACACCTTGTTCCAGAGGCTTTTATTTTTCATTGAAATTATACAGCCACGATATGCACACAGCCACCAGGAATATTTACTGTACTGGTTTGTCCAGACAGCAGAGACTACAAACCACAGCTTTGTCCAGACAGCAGAGACTACAAACCACAGCTACTCTTAGGGTGAGGGACAACCTGTACAGCTCAAACAGCAAGCACTGTAGTGTGGATAAGATTGTTCCTCAGGTGGGCATCAGCCGGTGGTGTGGTGGTTAAGGGTGCTGGACTCACACATGGCTGACTGCAGTTTGAGTCCCGGACCTGGCAGCTTGCTTTCTTGCTTTCTCTCTCTCTCTTCTCTCAAATTAGCTGGAGTCAAAAATCGGTGGCATCCTGGAATACTAATCCAGCTAGCCGTTTCTTAAGTTCACTCTGTTTTACGAGAACTTTTTTTTCCTTTATTCACGATAGAACACATGCAATGGGTGTAAAGAGAAGCACCCTCCACAGCGACTCGTCATGCCACAGTAGGTGCTAAGAATACATTAGCACTATACTTAATGCCACTGAATCGTATGCTTAAGAAGGGTTAAGGGAGGAACAAGTCCCACAGCCAGGCAGTTAAGAGAGCCCAAGTGCACATGCCTAATACCTCCTCTCTCTCTCTCTCTCTCTGTCTCACAGCACACACACTCTGGTAGAAGAAAAACACATAAATACATAAATAAAAGGATTATGTTGACAAATTTTACATCATAATTTTTATTTCTTTGTAATATAAAACCCTATAAACAAATTTAGAAAGCAGCAACAGATTGGGGAATACAGAATGGAGAAACGGGATGTGGCATGACCATGCCCTATTAGGGGGTGCTTTCTCCCTGTCCTCTGCTTCTCTGTCTCTGGTGAGCACATACATCCTCTGGGGAAAATGGAAAGAAAAAAAGCTAAAATATATTTGACTATATAACAGTTGTTAATTCTGGGTAGTAGAATATGAATATTTGTTATATTGTTCTTTGTGTTCTTAAACATGTTTTGTTATCTAAGGTTTATTTTTTAAAATAATAATAATCCTGGTTTGGGCCCAGAAGAATGTGGGAAGATGTCATAGGGAAGGTTGGGCTAGGTTTCTATTGTGGACTCTTTTCTTAAAGAATTATTTTCCTCTAAAAAAAAATAAATAAATAAAGGGACCAGCAGTTAGTGTAATGGCTATGTCGTTGAACTCCCACATGGTCGACTGTGGTTCGAGTCCCGGACCCAGTGGCTTAAACTCACATTAGGCGCATGTGCATGCATGCCCAAGATCCTGAGAGGAGAATGAAGGAGAAGGATTGCAGTGTGGCCATCCCCCCTGGGGGGGTGATTTCTCGCTTTCTGTCTCTCTGTCTCTCTATTTCTGGCAAACGCACACACTGTATAGCAAAAACCTCTAAAAACAAAAAAAAAGAATTATTATTTAACTTCATTTATTTATTTTTTAAATTTTGACCAGAGAGGGACAGAGTGAACAAGCAAGCAAGAAAGACGGGGAAAGAGAAAACAAGCCTCCTGATCTGGAACTCGAACCGCGATCAGCCATGTGGGAGTCCAGCTCCCTGCTGTAGACTCTTAACACAGAGCTAGATTTCATGTTAAAGCTGAGCCTTGTCCTGAGTGGTTGCCCCTCAGTACATAAGCATTTCATCATGTTTTAATAAAATCCTTATAAACATTTCAATTAAGTTTTACCTAATAGTTTACTCAATATTCAGAATTTACTAAACCTGAGAAACAGTTTTGATGGTTTTCATTTTTTTGATGCAATATTTAAAGAAGGGGTGGTGGGGATGGGAGGGTGACAGCAGGTGGTGTGGTTAAGGTGCTGGACTCCCACATGGCCAACCGCAGTTTAAGTCCCAAACCTTGCAGCTGGGTGTGTATGTGTGCATGCCCAAAATTCCAAGAGGAGAATGGAAGAAAAGTATTTGTGGTGTAGCCACCACCTATCCACCCATCCCTCCCCTACGTGGGTGATTTCTCAGTTTCTCTCTCTTTCTCTCTTCCTAGTGAGCACAAGGGCCCCTACAATAACAACAACACAAACAGCATGAGTGGTAGACCAGCTGGTGGTGTGGTGGTTAAGGCAGCTGGATCCCACATAGCTGACTTTGTGGTTCAAGTCCCAGACCTAGTGGCTTGCAAAATACACCTGATAACATCTGTGTGCATGCCAAGAGTGCTCAGAGGACAATGGTGAAGAAAAGATTGTTGTGTGCCATCTTTCCTCAGGAATAATTTCTTGCTTTCCATCTCTGTCTCTAGCAAGCATACAGGTCCTATTGCAAAAATAGGGGTGGGGGGCTCATAGCCTGATGGTTAAGGGAGTTGGCCCCACATGACCAGCCACAGTTTACTTCCCAGCTCCAGCCCTAGCCCAGGTTCCAGTGGTTTGAAAAAAACACCAAGTGCCTATGCATGCATGGCCAAAATCCAAATAGAATGGAGAAATAAGAGAAGGAATTGTGGTGGGACCACACCCTACTGGGTATGCTTACTTTTTAAATTTTGACCAGAGAGGGACAGAGTGAACAAGCAAGCAAGAAAGACGGGGAAAGAGAAAACAAGCCTCCTGATCTGGAACTCGAACCGCGATCAGCCATGTGGGAGTCCAGCTCCCTGCTGTAGACTCTTAACACAGAGCTAGATTTCATGTTAAAGCTGAGCCTTGTCCTGAGTGGTTGCCCCTCAGTACATAAGCATTTCATCATGTTTTAATAAAATCCTTATAAACATTTCAATTAAGTTTTACCTAATAGTTTACTCAATATTCAGAATTTACTAAACCTGAGAAACAGTTTTGATGGTTTTCATTTTTTTGATGCAATATTTAAAGAAGGGGTGGTGGGGATGGGAGGGTGACAGCAGGTGGTGTGGTTAAGGTGCTGGACTCCCACATGGCCAACCGCAGTTTAAGTCCCAAACCTTGCAGCTGGGTGTGTATGTGTGCATGCCCAAAATTCCAAGAGGAGAATGGAAGAAAAGTATTTGTGGTGTAGCCACCACCTATCCACCCATCCCTCCCCTACGTGGGTGATTTCTCAGTTTCTCTCTCTTTCTCTCTTCCTAGTGAGCACAAGGGCCCCTACAATAACAACAACACAAACAGCATGAGTGGTAGACCAGCTGGTGGTGTGGTGGTTAAGGCAGCTGGATCCCACATAGCTGACTTTGTGGTTCAAGTCCCAGACCTAGTGGCTTGCAAAATACACCTGATAACATCTGTGTGCATGCCAAGAGTGCTCAGAGGACAATGGTGAAGAAAAGATTGTTGTGTGCCATCTTTCCTCAGGAATAATTTCTTGCTTTCCATCTCTGTCTCTAGCAAGCATACAGGTCCTATTGCAAAAATAGGGGTGGGGGGCTCATAGCCTGATGGTTAAGGGAGTTGGCCCCACATGACCAGCCACAGTTTACTTCCCAGCTCCAGCCCTAGCCCAGGTTCCAGTGGTTTGAAAAAAACACCAAGTGCCTATGCATGCATGGCCAAAATCCAAATAGAATGGAGAAATAAGAGAAGGAATTGTGGTGGGACCACACCCTACTGGGTATGCTTACTTTCTCTGGCAAACACATGTGCCCTCTGGCATTAAAAATGTTTTAGAAAAATAATTTAGAAATGCTGTGTGAGGCCAGCAGGCGGTATGGTGGCTAAGGCGCTGGACTCCACATGGCCAACTCTAGTTTGAGTCCCAGACCTGATGGCTTGCTTTTTCACTTTTTCTGGCTGGTGTGCACACATGCCCTGTAGCAAGTTAAAAATAATAATGATAAAACTATACTTTTTTTTTTTTGGAGAGATTTTCACTGTAGGGCATGTGCGCTCACCAGACAGACAGAGACATAGAGACAGAAAGCGAGAAATCACCCCCCAGGGGGGATGGTCACGCCGCAATCCCTTCTCCTCCATTCTCCTCTCAGGATCTTGGGCACGCACGCACACGCGCCCGGCGTGAGTTTTAAGCCATCGGGTCCGGGACGTGAACCGCGGTCGACTACGTGGGAGTCCAGCGACATAGCCATTACGCTAACTGTTGGTTCCCAAAAAATAATAATGATAAAACTATACATTTTTTTTAAAGGTTGTGTCTTAGGGCTGCACCATGGCCTAGTGGTTAAGAGAACGAAATCTCACATGGCCAATATGTTAAGTGCATGTGTGTGCATGCCCAAAATCCTGACAGGATAGAGAAATGGAAGAGAAGGGATTGAGGAGTATGCTTTCTCTCCTCTGGCAAAAGCATGCACCCTCTGGTAATAAAAGAAAATAATAAAGAGTTTTTGGGTCTAGATGGTAGTGCAGAGTGAAACACAGAGTTCTGCGAAGAAATTCCACTTTGGAACATTCCCTGTTCAAGTCCAGAGACCTCCCTAGAATATGCTGGGAGAGAATGACTGAGACTGGACCATGGTGTCAAGACTGTTGGGTGCATTCTCTCTCTCTCTCTCTCTCTCTCTCTCTCTCTCTCAAGAAATAAGTAAAGGAAACACTATGGTTCAAAAAGGAAAAAAAAGCAGTGCAAAAGAATTTTCATGTCATACTATTTCTGTAAGACATATTCACAGACATATGATAACTAGGTCAAAAGGTGTGAACTTTTGAAACTTGGGCTGCCTTTCAGGAAACTTTCCATATACATTGCTTTTTAAAATGTTACATATCTGGGAATGCTTTCTATAGGCTTAAAAGGTCCGTCCCTTATTTAATCACTCTTAGCTGGTATTTAATTCTCCCACGTAAGCAATCAGTACCTTTGAGGCTCATATGAACCTTTGCACTAACCTCTGATTTAATGAGCATTCATCAGGATAAAACGATGAGCTCTCTAATGAACAAACAGGACAAGACGGTATCAGGAAGGGCTTTCCAAAGAGGGCTGGCTGTTCATAGAAGGAAGCTGCCATTGTTGCAGGTTAGGTGAGCAGAGACTGGACAATCACTTGGCAGATACTGATTCCTTTTTTCATTCGTCAAACCTTTAGGGAATACCTCCTTCCTCAGCTGCAAATGAGAATCAGAAGACTAAAAGGTGACTGAAACGTTCTAGGGCGCTGCCCCCAAGGCAAACTGCAAGAGTTGGCTAAATTATCCAGCCCCAGTCCCGGGGTTCTCTGTACTCTTTTTGGCTTGCCAGACCTTAATTTTAGGCTGCGTGTGTGTATGGGGAGAGGCGGGGGGTGTGGGGGAGCTCAGTTATTTGTGCAAATAAATGACTGTAAACCCAGAAATGAAAACTAGCTTTTGTGGGATTTCAATTCATTACGTTTGAAAAACTATCATGCCTACCTACCTACGGGTGTTGCATGCAAAGATATATTACTATTTTCTGAAGAAACATTCAGGAGAAAAGGAGGGTGAAGCAATTCCGGTGAAAGAGTTGGACGAGAAAAAAAAAAGACAAAAAAGCAGCGTGTCCTAGTCTTCGCCCATTTTGGCTCGCCAGGGGGGAAACTCGCTGGTCTACTCCCACCAGCTGAACAGGCGCGGTCATGTCAGCGGGTGGGCCGTTTAGCAGGCCGGAACCTTGCGTGCGGTTCCCGACGGTTGCACGCACCCGGAAGCATTTGAGCGCTGCACCGCCCGGCGCCATGCCCTTCAGCCCGGCGCTCGGAGGAGAAAGCCGGCGGCTTAGGCCCCGGCGGTGGTCGTGGTGGTTTTCTTTGTAGTTGGCATCTGAAGCCGGGCCTCACGTGGAAACGGCGTCACCATGTTGAGCGGACGGCCGGGCCGAATGCCCTTGCAGTTCCTGCCGGAAGAGGCCCGGAACCTGCCGCCGCCCAAGCTGACCGACCCGCGGCTCGTCTACATCGGCTTCCTGGGCTACTGCTCCGGCCTGATCGATAACGCGCTCCGGCGGAGTGCTCCGGCCTGATGGATAACGCGCTCCGGCGGAGGCCGGTGGTGTGGGCCGGTGAGGGCTGCGCGGCCGGTGGGCGGGAGGACTCCGGGTCGCGGGGCTGCGGGCCGCCCGCCCGGGCCGGTCCCGTCCCGCATGCTGCTGGCCCACCTGGCCTCCGGTGCAGTCTGTGCCGGGTTCGCTCCTCAGTCGGGCAGAGCCGGAGAGGCTTTGGGTACATGAAGGGACAGGGAAGCAGGGACTTGACCCTGACCCCCAGTGGGTCTGTGAGGGTCCTGGGCTGCGAGTCCATCAGCTTGCCGTGTGCCTGAGGAACTTGCACCCCAGGCCGTGTCCTGCCGGGCCTGGAGCAGTTAGTCCTCTCCACGCTATGGGCGGTGAGAGCCGCTCGCGACCAAGAGCTTGAAGCGCCTTGCCCAAGGTCATACGGCCGGGAAGTCACAGAGCTTGTTTTCGGACGACCCCGTGTCAGGCCACCGGGAAGCCAGTGCTTCTCAAACTTACTGTACACACGTGTAACCCAGGGGTCTTGTTAAAACGCGGATTCAGGTTCTTTAGACCTGGAGAGGGGGGCTGGTGTTAACTGCCACCGCTGTTGGTCAGAGACCACACTTTTCGATAGGGGGCGCCAAACCACCAACCCGTATTTCCAAGTAGTGTGAAATACTCAGATAATTCATGAGAAAGTGCCTATTATGAAAAAATATGCATTGGGACCAGCAGTTAGTGTAATGCCTATGTCACTGGACTCCCGTGTAGTCGACCGCAGTTCGAGTCCTGGATCCAGTGGCTTAAACTCACGCCGGGCATGTGTGTTGTGCGTGCGTGCCCAAGATCCCAAGAGCAGAATGGAGAAGGGATTGTGGCATGGCCATCCCCCCTGGGGGGTGATTTCTCGCTTTCTGTTTAACTTTTATTTATTTATTTTTATTTTGACCTGAGAGAGAAAGGGATAGTGAGAAAGGAAGCTGCCAGGTCCAGGACTCAAACCGTGTTCTGCCATGTGGGAGCCCAGTGCCCTTAGCCACCGCCACCTGCTAGCCCCATTTTATAAGAGATTGTTTTTTGCGGTGGGGCACACGTGCGCTCACTGGAAAGACAGAGACAGAAAGTGAGAAATCCCTTCTCCATTCTCCTCTCAAGATTTTGAGCATGCACGCTCACACTGGGTTACGTACAGGGCTTATGGGGTGAAGAATACTGTCCCTGCCCTTAAGGAGCTTCTAGTCAATCCAAGAGATAAGTCAACCGTCCATTTCTGGTCTGGGTGTGATAGATTCCTGTTTTGATAGAGGTGGGTGAGCAGAGCTTTGGGAGCAGTGGGAGGATGTTCAAGAACAACATAGATTGGGTCCTTCACATGGCGTGGTGGTTAAAGGCGCTAGAAAATAATAAAGTTGGATAAAATAATTCTTTAAAAAAAAGGAACAAAGGTTGGCTGAAATATGAAGTGTGTGCTACTTCATCTCACCTTGTCAGTTTAGCAGTTCCTATCTTTTTGGGAGACAAGAGCTCAGTAGATAAGAGCACATGCTTTGGGACCAGCAGGTGGCATGATGGTTAAGGCGATAGACTCCCACGTGGCCGACCACAATTCTCTTTTTCTCTCTCTCCTTCATAGGAGTGTACATGCCCCATAGCCAATTAAGAAATAAGTAGTAATAATAAAATAAATATAAGGCTTATTTATTTATTTATTTACTTTTTCCCAGGACTCCATCACGTTCGGTCATGGTCCCGGGAATCCATCAGCCTTAACAATCATACCACATGCTGGCCCAAAATATATAATTCTTTAACAAAAGAGAGAGCATTGAGGACAACAGGTGGCGTGGTGGTTGGGGCACTAGACTCCAATGTGGCTGACCATGGTTCGAGTCTGGGACCTGGTAGCTTGCTTTCGCACTCTGTCTCTCTCTCCCTCTCTGGTCATATTTAAAAAAAAAAAAAAAAAGATAATAAAATTAAATAATTTTTTTTTTTTTTTTAAAGAAAAAGCATATGCTCTGTGTCTGACTCCACTTGTATCATACTAGTTTCATTCTGGGAAAATTCCTTATTTTTGTGAGAATTAGGGGAAATAAAGTGTATAAAGCACTTAGCACAGGAGTTGGGATCAGAGTTCTTGAGTTCCCTCAGCTTACCTAGATTGCTTTGGAAAATTTAGGTCATAAAGTCTTACTGAAATGCTGTCCTCAGCATTATTTATTAAACACATACTGTGTTTGTGTAGCTCAGTGTCTGGCATATACTAGGTGCTCAGTAAGTGTCACTTGGATGGATAAGAAAGTATACATTTTAAGAAAGTATAAAATATGGTCCCAACACTCCAGAGATTTACAGATCAGCTGGCCATATCCACTACAAAGACAAATTGTCGTACAAGTTTAAGTACAGAGGGTAAAACCATTCTCACCCATAAGTGATGTTTCGAGGAGAGTTGGAGCAATAGGGAAGAAGAGAGAGATGATAGATTTTCAAACTATAGTCCTGGAAAGTACCTGGTAATCTGTGGGTAATAATGAAATATTTTGTCTGTGAAATAAAATTATGCTAATTTTTTTCAAGTTATCAGAAAATATTATATAGAATTTTTTCTTAAGCTTTTCTCCCATGACCTGTTTTTAAACCCTTTTTGCTGATTACCACTCACCTGTCCTAAACTTATAGATTGTTCGTAATCTAAGTATAGTCCAAAAAATTACTTACTGATTTCCAGTTTACCATATCAGTAGTTTATGGTCTGCAAGGAGCATGACTTCCAGATTTAGATTCACTGAGTAAAGAAGTGATAGAAAGGACCAGCAGTTAGTGTAATGGCTATCTCGCTGAACTCCCATGTAGCCGACCATGGTTCGAGTCCCGGACCCAGTGGCTTAAACTCACGCCAGGCACGTGTGCATGTGTGCCCAAGATCCCGAGAGGAAAAGCGATTGTGGCATAGCTGGGGGGTGATTTCTCGCCTTCTATCTCTTTGTCTCTCTCTGGTGAGCACATGTGCCCTATAGCAAAAATCTCTCAAATAAATAAATAAATAAATAAATAAAAGAAGTGAAAGAAGAAATGACAGAAGTTTACATGGAGTGAGAGAGAAACAGCTCCAGAGGGGAGAGATTAGGGAAATGGGACTTGGGAAAAGCAGGCCATCCCTCAGGGCTGGGATGCTGGAGCAATCACCTGAAGCATTCATGGAGTCTTTTTCTACAAAGAACATAGATCAGTATAGAGACAGTCTAGGCCTTTGTAGCTGTAGTTCAAGGACACAGGGAGAACTTGGCACTCACTGGTTTGCCTTATTGCCAGTAGGATAGCACCTGGCAGGGGTTTGAGCGGAATATTCTTACTACCTGGCTGTTTGGTGGTAAGGGAGCATGCAAAAGAGCCTGGGCCCTGTCCAGTCCCAGACCAGTGCTGGGACATGGCCAACCAGGTTCAAGTCTGGGCTACTTAAAAATCACACCAGGTGGCTGGTCCGAGTGCAGTGGTGTTTACAACTAATTGATCACAGCCAGTTACAGATTCCTTTGTTCCTTCTCTACTCCCACTGCTTCACTTGACTAGCCTTAAAAAAAAAAAAAAAATCACACCAGGTGTGCTTGCCCAGAATCCTGAGCTTCACTTGACTAGCCTTAAAAAAAAAAAAATCACACCAGGCGTGCTTGCCCAGAATCCTGAGGAGATCGAAGGAGAAGGGATTGCAGCATGGCCATCCCACCTGGGGGATGATTTCTTACTTTCTCTGCTTCTGGTGAGCACACATGCCCTATGGCAAAAAGAAACTTAAAATCTTGAGTCCTATTGATAGTTATAGCTGCAGACTTACTGTTGCTTTTCTTAATTACCAGATTTCTTTTTTAAAATAATTATTTAATTTTATTCCTCGTTTTTTTTTTAATTTGACTGGGGGGGGGACAGATGGAATAAAAAAGCAAGCTGCTAGATCTGAGACTTGAACTACAGTTAGCCATGTGGGGGTCCAGTGCCTTAACCACCACTCTACCTGCCAGCCCCACCATATTTCTTGTAAGAGAATGTAGGATGTCTTAAAGTCAAGGATCAATGATGTTTGTTTAGGATAGCCATATAAAAAAAGCTTTTTTTAAAAAAATACAATAACTCTGAAATATAAAAATGTGGTTTTTATTACATATTAACTGACATTTGTTTTCTTTGGGGCTTGTCATTTGATTTTCAGGTTTGCATCGCCAGCTTCTATATGTTACTTCCTTTGTTTTTATCGGCTATTATCTTTTAAAACGTCAAGACTATATGTATGCTGTGAGGGACCATGATATGTTTGCATACATGAAATCCCATCCGGAGGATTTTCCTGAGAAAGGTATTTCAAGTTAACTGTAAAAAACCTCTGTCCTTATTCTGTATCATTTACCCTGGTTAATTTTATCCATGCTACAGCATCAGGTACCTTCTACTAGGTTGTCTGGAAAGTCATGACATGTTTTTCTATGCGTTTTTTTCTCTGCTCACCCACCTCTCTCCTATGCCCCTATCCTGGTTTAGGCTCTGATAATCTCTGACTTGGTCTATAGCACTTTTTTAAAAGAGATTTTTGCTATGGGGTCGGTGAGCTCACCAGAGAGAGAGACAAAGCAAGAAATCATCCCACAAGGACAATGGCCACTCTGCAATCCCTTCTCCTCTTGGAATTTTGGGTATGCATGCACACACACCTGGTGTGCGTTTTAAGCCAGTGGTCCAAGATTCGAACCGTGGTCGACTACATGGGAGTCCAGCAACAGAACCATTACACCATCTGCTGGTCCCAGCACTTCTAACTTGCCTGTCTTCAGTTTTATATCTGCTGACTGCATGTCCAGTCACATCTCTCTACGTAGAAGAGCTAGGTCTCAACTGCTGGTAGGGTAAAATCCAGACTCCTTAGGATTTTATTTCCTTAGGCTGAGCTAATTTTGTGTTGTCTAGTGAAAACACTTTGCCCATACCTTTTATCCACCACATTACAAACATGTCTGTGTCCCTGGCTGGATTCTTGCATCATCTTTTCCCTAGTCTTTGACTCAGAGCCTGCACATAGTAATGTACTTAATAGCTGACCTGAACCACACGGAACCTGCCTCACCTCCCATTGCTCTTCTCTTGCCTCATAAAATGCTTGTCTCAAGCCTGCACTGTATTATTTTGTACATGTTGAGCCTTCTTCTGATACATTCTTCCTCTCTACCCTGTTTCCAGCCCTTCCACAAGCAAATTCCTGCTCAAGACTTATCATCCTCCATGAAGTATTCATCCAGCTAGACATGAATTCCACCAGCCTCACACTGTTATCTCAGTTTAACTGTGATTTTTTTCTTTATTTTTTTTTTTTAATTTTTTAATTTTGCCAGTGGGCATATGCAATTGTCAGAGAGAGAGAGAGAGAGAGAGAGAGAGAGAGAGCGAGCGAGCGAGCTAAAAAGCAGTTCCATGGGGAGTGTCGACACCACAGTTCCTTTTCTTTCGTTTTCCTTTTGGGGTTTTGAACACAACCTACACGCATGCCTAGCGTGTTTCTCAAGTCACCAGGTCCAGGACTCAAATCATGCAGCCAGCATGTGGGATCCAGCTGCCTTACCCACTACGTCATGGGCTGGCCCAAAATGATTGTAATATAACTTTCCTTATCTGTATTTCATACACAACAAGATATGCACATGTGTGAGCTCTTTGTAGGCTGGGAGTTTAACTCATTCAGATTTTATTTTAGTTTATTTTTTGTCTCCAGGAGCTACAGAGTGTTTGCCACTCCAATTTGTGTTATTTTTGGTTTTGTTTTTTTGTTTTTGGCTTTTTTTTTTTAAAATAGAGATTTTTGCTATAGAACATGTGTGCTCTCCAGAGAGACAGAATGAGAGAAATCACCCCAGGGGAGATGCCATACCACAATCCCTTCTCTCAGGATTTTGAGCATGCATGCAAACGCACCTGGTGTGAGTTTTAAGCCACCAGGTCTAGGACTCGAACTGTGGTCAAGTGGGAGTCAGGGATATAGCCATTAAACCATCTGCTGATCCCTCCACTCAGATTCTATTAGATGTGTGAATGAATAAATGAATGAAAATGTAGGAAAATTTTAAACTTGTAAATATATAAATCGATTTTTAAAATTTTCCTACATATGGAAATATGTAATATAAAGAATTTAAATTTCATTAAACTTAATGATCTTTATGGGCCTATGTAGCTTTAACATTTTATTTCTCCACTTAATAGTCATATGGCTTTTAGTCACATTTGATATTTATGGTGAATCAAAAAGATGCAGCTTTGTTTGACAAAAGCTTAAAGACTAGTACAAAGCCATGAGTGCTGGATGTATCAGAAATAGAGAATACTAAGAAGAGTTGAATGTTTGCACTAGAAAGAATCTTAGAAACACCGATTCCTGGGTGTGAGATCTGGTTGCAGGCAACCCTGTGCCTCTTTGCCTAATGATATTTTACAAGTTCCCTTGTCAGCTGGAGTTTGTATAGGCCTTGTTCTGACTGAACAGCTGGTTACTGGCAGGTATGCCAAGAGCCTCAGGCACTAACAGCAGCAGGGGTTCATGGCTGGTTTAATCACACCAACTGCTGGTCTCTCCTCACTGACCTGCACCCCTCCCAATTTTCCCTTCGCCCCTGCAGGCAGGCTACCCTGGTAGCACCTTGCCCCTCCTAACAGCTGTCTAGATATCACTAGATTTCTCCAAAGGTATTCCTCACTCAGCAAAACAGATGTCTCAGTGACTTCCAAGCCTTAGTTGAAGACAAGAAATTCTTAGGGGTTTGTTTTAGTTCATTTGGACTGCTACAACAAAATACCTTAGACTAGATCATTTAAATAATAGAAATATATTGTTGACAGTTCTAGAGGCTAGGAAGTTCCAGATCAAGGCAGAGTGAAAGTCTGGTGAGTCACTCTTTGCTTCATAGATGTCACCTTATTGTGTGTCCTCACTTGGTAAAAGGGACAAGCAAGCTCTCTCAGGCCTTGTTTATAAGGACACCAATCCAATTCCTGAAGGCTCTGCCTTCATGACCTAATCACCTCCCAGAGGCCCCACCACTACACTGGGGCTTAGATTTCAGCATAAGAATTTTGAGAGGACATAGAAATTAAGTCCATGGCAGAGCTGTTGTCAGTAAGATTATGAAAGCATGGTACCTAAGGCTCTGGACTCCCACATGGCCAACTCTACAGTTTGAGTCTCAGACCTGGCAGCTTTAAAATCTTGCCAGGCACATGTACACACAAGCCTAAAATCGCAGGAGGAGAAGGGATTGCAGTGTGGCCATACCCCCAGGGAGCGATTTTGTACTTTCTCACTGTGTCTCTTTCTCTTTCTTTCTCTGGTGAGCATACATGCCCTATGACAAAAGTCTAAACAAAATTATGAAGTGTTACTTTTCTTTAGGAAATAGTATTTTTAAAACAATTTTAGGGGCCAGCAGATGGCGGCTGGGCTAAGGCGCTGGACTCACACATGGCCAACCATGGTTCAGCTCCCAGACCTGGCAGCTTGAAAATGGTGCCATGTGCATGTGTGCCCAAAATCCTGAGAGAATAGGGGAGAGGGGATTGTGCCGTGGCCATGCCCCCAGGGGTGATTTCTTACTTTACCTTTCACTGTTTCTCTGTCTCTCTCCAGGGAATGCTTGTGTCTTATGGCAAAAACCTTTATAATAATAATAATAATGTCTTGTGATCTTTTATAGATAAGAAAAGTTACCGTGAAATTCTTGAAGAATTCCACCCAGTGCGTTGAAGTTTTCAAAATGCTCCAGATTCACCGAGATCTGTTATATCCAAATGTTATGAAACACATTTCCAGAAGGCTGAAGTTTTATGTGAATCTGTATGTTAACTCCTGTGATTAAAAGAGTTATCATGAATGCTGACTCCCTTCTTGTTGTAAGAAAAATAGTTCAGGGCCACCGGTAGCACAGTCGTTAAAGCCGCCAGATCCTACGTGGATAGCTCCATAGTTTGACCTGGATCCAGGGACCTGAGAAACACACCCAGAATGGGTGTGCCCAAAATCCGAAAAGGAAGAAGAGATAATAGAGGAGAGAAATTACGGCATGGCCATCTCCCCTCGAGGGTGCTTTCTCACTTACTTTCTGTCTCTCCAACAAGCACACATACCCTAGGGCAAATTTCAAAAAGAGGACATCTGAATTTTTATTTTTCTTTTGGAGAGATTTTTGCTATAGAGGACACAACACTTGCCAACGAGACAGAGAACATGAGAAATCACCCCCCTGGGGGGATGGCCACACTGCAATCTCTTCTCCATTCTCTCAGGATTTGGGGCATGCATAAACACACGCCCAACATGAGTTTTAAGCCGCCAGGTCTGGGACTTGAACTGCACCGACTACATGGGAGTCCAGTGGCATAACCATGTGCCATCTGCTGATCCCAACATCTGAATTTTTTTTTTTGGAGGGGTTTTCACTATAGGGCGTGTGTGCTCGCCAGACAGCCAGAGAGAGACAGAAAGTGAGAAATCACCACCCAGGGGGAATGGCCATGCCGCAGTCTGTTCTCCATTCTCCTCTCGGGATCTTGGGCACGCATGCACACACACACGCCCGGCGTGAGTTTTAAGCCACCGGGTCCGGGATGCGAACCGCGGTCGACTACATGGGAGTCCAGCGATGTAGCCATTATGCTAACCGCTGGTCCTCACATCTGAAATATTTTTAAATGGAGTTTATTTCTAGGTCAAGTTCAGCGAGTTACAGTCTATGGGTCAAATCCAGCTACTGCCAATAAATTTGTATTGGAGCACAGCTGTGCTTATTTATGTGATATTTGCAGCTACTTTCATGCTAAACAGTGGAGTTGTGTACTTGTGACAGAGTTCTTAGAGCCTCTAAAGCCAGAAATAGTTAATACTTGGCCCCTACAGAAGAGGTTTGCCTGCTCTTGTTCTAAAGCAAAGCAGACCAATTTATGGAGGGATTTGTGAGTCATGCAAAATAATTTGACAGGATCCTATAAGTATTTAGAAGTCACTAAAAAGTTTTCATTGGAAATAACAATCAGATTGTTTTTCTCAGTTCTCTGCAACAATCTAGAAAGTGGTTTGGAAGAAAGACCGGGAGAACAGAAGTCTGATTGAGCAGTGGGCTCTTTACTCAGACAGCTTATCCTGGACAAAGCAAGCTCCATTAATAACATTGTACGCCCAGACCAGCAGAGGGAGCAGCCGGAGTGTGTCCCCCCCACCCTTTCCCTTCCCGCCCCGCTCCCCTTTTCCCTTCAGTCGCCTCGCACCTGCAGTGACCAAAGACTTGACCGCTCAAAGTCCAGCTCCCCAGAACACTGCTAGACATGGACACCGGTGTGATTGAAGGTGGATTAAATGTCACTCTCACCATCCAGCTACTTATGCATGGCAAGGAAGTTGGCAGTATCATCAGAAAGAAAGGAGAATCAATTAAGATGCCCGAGGAGAGTGGACATATCAGCATCTCAGAAGGGAATTGTCCTGAGAGAATAATCACTTTGGCTGGACCTACTAATGCCATCTTCAAAGCTTTTGCTATGATCATTGACAGACTGGAAGAGGACATTAGCAGCTCTATGACCAATAGCGCAGCTGCCAGTAGACCCCCAGTCACCCTGAGGCTGGTGTTCCCTGCTAGTCAGTGTGGCTCTCTCATTGGAAAAGGTGGTTGTAAGACCAAGGAAATTCGAGAGAGTACAGGGGCTCAGGTCAAGGTGGCAGGGGATATGTTCCCCAACTCTACTGAGCGGCCATCACTATTGCTGGCATTCCGCAAACCATCATTGAGTGTGTCAAACATCTGTGTGGTCATGTTGGAGTCTCCCCCGAAGGGCGTGACCATACCGTACCAGCCCAAGCTGTCCAGTTCTCCAGTCATCTTTGCAGGTGGTCAGGCCTATATCATTCAAGGACAGTATGCCATTCCACAGCCAGATTTGACCAAGCTGCACCAGTTGGCAATGCAACAGTCTCATTTTCCTGTGACACATGGCAACACCGGATTCAGTGGCATTGAATCCAGCTCTCCAGAGGTGAAAGGCTATTGGGCAGGTTTGGATGCATCTGCTCAGACTACTTCTCATGAACTCACCATTCCAAATGATTTGATTGGCTGCATCATCGGGCATCAAGGCGCCAAAATCAATGAGATCCGTCAGCTGTCTGGGGCTCAGATCAAAATTGTGAACCCAGTGGAAGGATCTACTGATAGGCAGGTTCCCATCACTGGATCTGCTGCCAGCATTAGCCTGGCTCAATAATCAGTTTCAGGCTTTCCTCGGAGACGGGTGGCATGGGGAGCAGCTAGAACAATGCAGATTCATCCATAATCCCTTTATGCTGTTCACCACCACCCATGATCCATCTGTGTAGTTTCTGAACAGTCAGCAATTCCAGGTTTTAAATAGTTTGTAAATTTTCAGTTTCTACACACTTTATCATCCACTCGTGATTTTTAATTAAAGCGCTTTAATTCCTTAAGAAAAAAAAAATTGTACTGCAGAGCTGGCTGCAATTAGAAGTGAAAGACCTCAGAGCCAGCACTGGACTCCCAGTGGCCAACCACAGTTCGAGTCCTAGACCTGCTGGCTTTCTCTCTTTGGTGAGCACATGTGCTCTATCGCAAAATTTTTAAATGATAAATTTTTAAAAAGTGAAAGGCCTCTGGGACCAGCAGATGGCGTAATGGCTATGTCGCTGGCCTCCCATGTAGTCGACCGCGGTTCGAGTCCTGGACCTGGTGATTTAAACTCACACCAGGAGCATATGCATATGTGTCTGAGATTCCAAGAGGAGATTGGAGAAGGGATTGTGACATGACCATCCCCCCGGGGGGGGGGATTTCTCACTTTCTGTCTGTCTCTGTCTCTGGTGAACGCACGCACCCTATAGCAAAAACCTCTCCAAAAAAAGCAAAAGACCTCATCTAGCTAGAATGAGGTTCCTATCTATGACATCACTTCCAAATGCTTGTTTTTAAGCTCAGATTTTATCATCTTTCATTTTTTGAGATAAAATTATTTCTATTTGATGTGCGGCTGTGTGAATATAAGCAGCTGGTTTCTGAACAAAATCAGAAGAATCCCATCTAAAGCACCAATTGTAAAAAAAAAGTGAAATGTTTGAGAATGCCAGCCGCATCACATGGTTCAGGGAGCTGGAACCCATGTGGCTGACCATGGTCCAAATCCTAGCACTGGTGACTTGGAAAACATGCTGAACATGTATGCATATGTGGCCAAAATCCTGACAGGATGAAGAAATGGAAGAAAAAGGATTGTGTGACCATGCCCCATGGTGATGGTGTGTGTGTGTGGGGGGGTGGTGGGGGTTGTGCTCCTTTCTCACTCTCCATTTCTGCTGAAGGTATATGCCCACAGGCAATTTAAAAATTTGTGTTGGGGGCCAGCTGGTGGTGGTGGTTAGGGTGGCTGAATCTCATATAGTTGACTGGTTTGAGTCCTGGAATTGGCTGCTTGAGAAACATGCCAGGGTGCATATACATGCATGCCCAAAATCCAAAAAGGAGGGAGAAGGGACTACAAGCATGACCACGCCCCATGGGGGTTGCTTTCTCTCTTTCTCCTCCCCTCTCCACCCCCTCCACTTCCATCCCTACCTCCACCCCTGCCTTGAGTACTAATATCCTCTGGCAAGTTTTGGGGGTTTTTTAAGAGTTTTTCTTTGCCTCAGGGTGTATGTGCTTGGGGAGAGAGAGAGAGAGACTGCCACAGCGGGAAAGTGAAAAGTCATTCCCACTGCAATCCCTTCTCTGTTCTCTTCCCAGGATCTTGAATGTGCACACACATGTGACTGGCATGATTTTTCAACCCACTGGGTCCAGGACTTTAACTATGGTTGATCATGTGGGAGTCCAGTGACATAAGCTCTATGCCATCTGCTGGCCCCCATTTTTTTTTTTTTTTAATGTTTGAAGAAAGTGCTCTAGAAATAAAAAGGTGCCTGAATACAGGGTATTTTGGTTTTGTTTTTATTGGTAGTGCAATAAATAGTCTTTTAGTTCACCCATGCTCAGCCTCATCAGTAGTCAACAGGTACAAGAATGTGAACCACTCACACCATGGGACTGCCACTTCCCAGTTCTGGAGGGTCAAAGCAAGGGCTAGAGCAGATACATAGGCAAGGGTGGGAGAGAACAGCCTATTGCGATAGCTCTCACGTGCCAGGGGCTTTTGATTCATCATCTTATTTAATTCTCATAACTTTATGAGGTAGATAAGACTCCCGCTTTACAGGTGAGGGAATTTAGACTCCAATAGGTTAAATAACTTGCCCAAGATTACATAGTTACAATTGCATACTGAATTACTGCAAAACAAAAGAGGGATGCTCGTTTTGGTCACATGCTAACCCCTATGGTCTCTACCGTCCCACCCTTTGCCTGGTCTCTCCTGAACCACTGGTCAGCACTCCAAACTGGTGAGCAGAGCAAGGGGAGTTGTGAGTACAGCAGACGTCCTACAGGTAAGCCAGTGGCAACGAATCGGTAATCAGACAGGGAGAGGGGCAGCCCAGAGAACTGAGTCGCTGTGGTTCTAGCTGCGGGTCCAGGCGTTTACCGGTCTTAGTCAGGGCCAGCAAACTGTTCCGTGTCCTCATCCGTCCACGTCTACCTCCTATTGTGTGACCTGTGGAGGACAGAAATTTTGTAAAGGATAAATTCAAGCCCGAGGTGCTAGCACATGCCTGCTGAAGCAAGGACAGTGGCAAAGCTCTGCGTGTGTGTTGCCGTTGGAAACCTTAGCACTGCAGGAATCAGCTAGCTCAAGAATCACTCCTCGGGTCTCCATATTATACTCACAGAAACATGCAGACAGGTGAAATAAATAGGAATATACAGAGGTCAAAGACAGAGACAGGATAAGAGTCTGGATTTGTGGACATTTGCTGTCACTCTGCCTCAGTAAATGAAAATGAATTAGGTTAAGGGGAGTCCACGCATCATAATGCAGAATTAATTGCCTGGCTCTTTAAACGGGGTTTCCACCCCATTACCGTCCCCGTTCCCACCTCCAGCCCAGGTGGCAGAGTTCTAAGGTTCAGTGGCTCACAGAAAATCCACTAGTGAGGGACCAGGAGTGGAGGTAATGGCTATGTCGCTGGACTCCCATGTAGTCGATCATGGTTTGATTCTTGGGCCCGGTGGCTTAAACTCAGGCCTGGTACACGTGAGTGCTTGTCCAAGATACCATGAGGAGAATGAAGGAGAAGGAATTTCAGCTTGGCCATCCCCTGGCAGGTGATTTCTCGCTTTCTGTCTCAGTCTCTCTCTGTCTTCCTGGTGAATGCACGCACCCTAGAGCCAAAACCTCTCAAAAGAAAAAGAAAGAAAGGAAGGAAGAGAAAGAAAGAATCCACTAGTGAAGAATTAGACTCAAGTTAGGCAGGCCAGGCTCACATATCACCTCTGCCATTCATTGACTACCTTGTTCTCACTTAACTTCATAGGCCTCCAGTTTTCTCAATGGTAAAAAGGAATGGTAACTCAAGTCCATAACTGATCATGCAAGTGATTTTTTAAAAGAATTATTTAATTTTATTTATCCTTATTATTATTTTTAAATTTGCTACAGGGCATGTGCACTTACAAGAGAGAGAGAAAGAGAGAGAGGGAAAAACAAAGTGAGAAAGCAAGCCACCAGGCCCAGGACTTGAACTGCCATAGCCATGTGGGAGTCCATCACTTTAGCCACCATGCCACCTGCTGGCCCTGCTATGCAAATGATTTTAAAACTGTAAAATTTGGGGCTATCAGGTGGTATGGTGGCTAAGCACTGGACTCCCACAGGGCTGATTGTGGTTTGAGTCCCAGACCTGGCAGCTTGAAAATCACACCAGCCTGTGTGCACACATGCCTCAAATCCCCAGAGGAGACTGGAGGAGAAGAGACCGTGGCATGACCATGCCCCCCAGGGGGTAATTTCTCAATTTATGAGTATTTATTAGTAAATAAGTATGTATTAAATAAATAACTTTCTTCGTTTGTAAAATGAAGATAGTAAAATCTATTTTTGTAGGGTTATTGTGGAGATTAAACGAGGTCATTCCACATCAAACATTTAGAGGCCATATTGGCACGTACTGTGTGTTCAGATGGAAGCTATTAACACGTGACATCAGGGTTTCATAGGACTCATGGACAGGCCTTGGTGGGTGGCAAATTCCTGAAGTTATACAGTTATGTGTCTACAGGCATGAACTCTGGGGAGAGTCTGAAGGTTTTTTTTTGTTTTGGTTTGTTTTTTGTTTTTTTTTTTGCCTGAGGGCACATGCACTCACCAGAAAGAGACAGAGAAAGGGAGAGGGAGAAAGCACCCCCTACAGAGAATGACCACACCACAATCCCTTCTCATTACTCGTGCCTTTTCAATTTGGAGTAGGCACACCCAGCATGTTTTTCTTTTTTTTCTTAAGGGATTATTTTATTTATTATTATTATGTAACTATAATAATAAGAAGAATTGTTATTATTTTACCAGAGAGAGAGAGAGAGAGAGGGAAAGTGAGAAAGCAAGCCACCAGATTCAAAACTCAAAGCACGGTCAGCCATGAGAGAGTCCAGCGCCCCTAACCACCACACCATCTGCTGGCCCCTGGCGTGTTTTTCAAGCCACCAGTCTGGGACTTGACATGGTTGGCTGTGTGGCATCTATTGGGCCATTGGAAAAGTCATGACATATTTTTCTGTGCAAAAATCCATCATGACTTTTCCGACGACCCAATAGCTCCCTTAACCACTAGACCACAGGCTGACCCCGGTGAGAGGGTCCACAGCTTTAATCAGATTCTTAAAGTTAATGGTGGGAACACACACTTGTTCAATTCACACATCTAAAGCATTCACATACTTTTTAATAAATGCACACATACACATGCACATGAGGTATGCACGTGCAGGCTTTTCTCCTCTGTCTTCATAATTGTTCACCACCCCTACTCAGCCAATCTTGGGTCAGGATTGTGATAAAAACAGACAAAAGGAACCAGCAGTTAGCGTAATGGCTATGTCACTGGACTCCCACGTAGTCGACTGCAGTTCACGTCCCGGACCCAGTGGCTTAAAACTCACGCCAGGCGCATGTGCGTGCGTGCCCAAGATCCTGAGAGGAGAAAGGAGGGGAAGGGATTGCGGCGTGACCATCCCCCCTGGGGGGTGATTTCTAGCTATCTGTCTCTATGTCTCTGTCTGTCTGGTGAGCGCACACGCCCTATAGTGAAAACCTCTCAAAAAAACAAAAACAAACAAACAAACAAAAAACAGGCCTGGTCCTGGACGCTCCCCAGGTCATCATTCCCAGGCCATGGTAGGAGGGTGGTTCTGTCTGAGAGCCAGGCTGTCCCGCTCTCCCTGGCTTGCACCCCCACTCCCTCCTCTCAGGAATGTCCCTGAATAGACTCTGACACCCCAAGCATGGCCACCATTACCTTCCCTGGAGTCCGAGGCCTACAGGACCTGGCCCTGTATCAGTTCCTGGTATTTCCTTGTCACCTCCTGGGCTTTCAGGGTGAGGTGCGTGAGGATGTGGTGAAGGCTGCAGAAGTGCAGGTGAAACTGGGCTTCCAGGTCCAGCCTCCCCGAGACCTTGTTCTCCTTGAGCTCCTCCTCCGTCTCAGCAGCTTCGTTCTCGACCTCATCCACCATCTTGGCCTGCCACTCCTCCCGCGGCAGCAGTCCGTGGTCCACATCCACGCAGATGGTCTTGAGCATGGTGAAGTAGGTGTAGAGATCGGGGGCCCCGGCATGGGCCTCGGCCTCAGCCCCAGGCCCCCCCAGCTGCACACCCCGCAGAAGGCTGGGGATCATCACCACCTGCTCCATGTTGCGCACGGTGGCCGAGTAGCGGTCCATGACGGTCAGCAGGCAGTTCTTGGGGTAGCTCTTGGCTGGCACCTGCATGTTGGCTTCCTCACACACGCCAGGGCGCGCAGGCTGCCCGGCACTATTTCTAGGCTCTGGGTCTGACGGCAGATTGACAGGATGCCAAGGCCCAGCCTCTGGGTCGACACAGCCCTGTTTTAGGCCAATCCCAGCCCTCAGGCCCCCTGTCTGGATCAGGTGATCCATCTGCCCAGGGCCAGACCTCCTGCCCTTCTTCTGCTGTCATTTCAGCTCTGCATGCAAGCCTCAGCAATGGGTTGCCTCTTCCCGGTCAGCTTGTAGGGCCAGTTACTGTCCTGGTATGCTTGACCTCAGGACAATAAATAATTCTTTCAGGTCACTTGAGGCCATGTTGCCTATTGGCTGCCTGCTCAGGGCAGCCTTGTAAAACACAGCTCACTTCTTAAACCAGGAGTGCCTCAGCTGGGAAACAAATAGGGAAGGGGGTCCTGAAACAAATTGACTTAGTATGGGACACAGAGCACTGAAGCTAGGGCCAGGAGCCGAGCCTGGCCATTTCCTAAGTGGGCGCTTTGGTTGTTTCGGGCCAATGTTTATTGAGCATCTGCTGCACGCTGGGTTCTACTCTAAACTCTTCAGTGAGTGACCTCATTTCATCTTCACCACACCCATGCGATGAACTTTTCAAAAAGTTTTATTTTATGTCTTCAATGAGTTTGAGGGACAGATACAGACAGACAGACACTCATACTCCCAATAGAGTGTTGATGATGCCCTCCTGCCTCAGCCAGCCCCAAACTAGGGGCACCGGCATATCTAGTACACACAAGGAACTCTCCAGACATGAACCTCAAACTCTCCCAGGCGATCAGCCTTGCAAAACATCCTATTTAACCACTGTGCCACCATGCAGCACACAGCAAGGAAGGTTTTCTTTTTTCTCTCTCTCTTTTTTTTTTTTTTGAGAGGTTTTTGCCATAGGGTGCGTGCACTCGCCAGACAGAGAGAGACAGAGAGACAGAAAGCAAGAAATCACCCCCCTGGGGGATGGCCACGCTGCAATCCCTACTCCTCCATTCTCCTCTCAGGATCTTGGGCACACACGCACACGCACCCGGCATGTTTTAAGCCACCGGGTCCAGGACACAAACCGCGGTAGACTACATGGGAGTTCAACGACATAGCCATTATGCTAACAGCTGGTCCCACAAGGAAGGTTTTAATATTTCTATTTTACTGATGAGGAAACTGAGGTACGGACAGCTGAAGTAACTCACTGAAAGTCCCACTGGAGTTGGGATTTGGGTCCAGGACCACCTCTGCACCGACATGTGAAGTCACATACATCATACAAGCTAACTAGATCCATAGTTTCTGTAAATCTGAGGAGTTGCAAGACTCAAATAAGAGAAAGCTATTGAAAAGGCCTTGTGGAGGACCAACAGACGGCGTAGCAGTTATGTCACTGGACTCCCATATGGCCTACCATGGTCTAAGTCCTGGACCTGGTGGCTTGCTTTCTCACTTTCTCTCTCTCTCTGGTAAAATTAAAAATAATAATAATAACTGGGACCAGCAGGTGGCATGGTGGCTATGGTGCTGGATACTCCCACATGGTTGAGTCCCAGACCTAGTGGCTTCTCTCTCTCTCACCCTCTCTCTCTTCAAATTAAATGAATAAATAAATAAAATTAAATCAATAATTCTAAAAAGAAAGAAACCATCTTATAAGTCAGAGACACATAAAATTAAAAATAAATAAGTCAAAACCAAAAAAAAAAAAAAGAAAGAGAGAAAGAAAATGCCTTGTGAAGCCAGATGTGTTGTCTGTGAGGTTTTCAGTCTTTTGCTAAGGCCTCTTCCAACTCTAACCAGTGATTCCGTAAGTTACAATGCTTACACATTGCCATTGGTCTCCTTCTGCAGTCTTGGAACAGAATAATCCTTCGCAGAGCTGTGCTGTCACAGTTTGCAAGTGACATTTGCTGTGTTGGTTTATGAAATAACTGGGAGAATCCAAACTCAGGGAGAGGCCCAGAACTGTGCAGCACGTGAGCGGCAGAGTCCAGCGGAGAACGAGAGCTGCCGCGTTTGGGTTCAGACACCGGCTCTCAACACTGTGTCAGGTGGAAGGATCGGCTAGTGGTGTTCCTTCCCACACCAGCAGAGGAGGAAAGAGGAACAGAGCACGAGGAGGGGATCTCCAGTGAACAGGACCCTAGAGCTGTCCCCACCTAAGCCATGCTCACCTCCACCCCAGGCTGAGAGCCCCTCTACCCCCTCCCAGATGACAGTCACTCCCTCTTCCCCTCCTACCTGCTTCCATGGCCAGGCCCATAAGGAGGCTCATCTTTACCTGGACTGGACTCCACCTCTCTCTGACCCCTCCCTGTTAAATGGTGATCTTCCCCTACCCCGGAATTTCCTGGCCTCAACTAGATTGTATTTGTACAGCACAGTAATATGCAAAGCCATTCCCATTCTTTCATTCATTATTCCCCCTCAACAGCCCTGAGGGCAGAAAAACATTAGTATTCCCCATTTCAAATGAGGACTCAGACTCAGAAAGGGAGAGGTACTTGCCCAAGGTCACACAGCTTAGGCATGACAGGATGGGGCTCAATCCTGCTCTGTCAGGCCACAGGGGAAAGCAGTGCTTATCACTCTCCACCAAGCCCCCTTGGCAGGCTGGCCATGCACACAGCCAGATGACCTGGACTTGTCCCAGTGGACCGGTGGCCTTGCATTTTCAGAGCAGGGCAGACAGCCAGTCCAGGCTCCAGCCGGCGCAAAGGGCAAACACAGTGGCGTAGAATGAAGACCACAGGGCCACGGCGAGCCTTGGCTTCCTCCTATGTTGTAATAATGATGAGCAAATATTGATCCAGGGCTTGCTAGTCCCAGCCATGTTAATATGTACAAAGTGTTTTTTATTATTTATCTTTTTAAATTATTATTTTTAGAGAGATTTTTGCTAAAGAGCGCATGTCCTCGCCAGAGAGACAGAGGGAGACAGAGAGACAGAAAGCGAGAAATCACGCCCCCAGCGCGGTTGGCCATCCCCAAATCCCTTCTCCTCCATTCTCCTCTAGGGATCTTGGGCATGCACGCACATGTGTATGGCATGAGTTTTAAGTTGCCAGGTCAGGAACTGGAACCGCGGTTGACTATGTGGGAGTTTAGCTACATAATCATTACGCCATCTGCTAATGCACAAAGTTTTTTTTTTTTT